AACTGATTATTTTGACTATATTGTTAATATACTTTATTTTAAAATATTTTTATTGACTTTTTATTTAATTTTTAATTTTTACATTTGAATAAATGACATTACCTATATATTTATAACTTATATATATATCTTATATTTGCAATATAATATACTTTATGTATGTATAATAGTACAAAGCTTCCGCGTTCTGAAAGGAACTTTTTTACCCAACCATACAAAATATAAGCATTCTGCAATATACCTCTATACCCGATCGTACTAAGTGTCCGCGTTTCACACTTTTAATTCTGTATACAAAGTGACTTGGACCCGAATCTAACATTCAACTATTTTTTATAGTTTTTTTTTATTTTCCAATATATTATGCAAAACCGTGTGGTTCTTCGGTCAGAACCTTCAAACTTTCTTCATTCATCAATCACCTGCATATGCCATACACAGTGTTGTGACATAATGTTGTCATAGTACAATATGTTATGGAGGTAAATACAAAATATTATACATTTAGATTTTCAAATTATATACCTAACTGACAACTACTGTAGCACATCAACAAATAGACATATTTGATTGCGGTTTTATTAATATTTATAGAAAAAAAAACTAAAAAAGCTGACAATGTAAACAGCTCAAAAATATTTTCAAAATGTTATATACTTATAGTGTACAGAAAATAAAAATATAAACATTCAATGAAATTGTCATGTATCTACAGTTACTCGTTTTTGATTTACAACAAAATAACAAAATCACTACATACGCGAGTACATGAGAAATCGAGTGAATATCTAATTTTGTAAAAATATGAAATTCAAACGCTCATAAAAATTTAAATTGATTTGCTTGTAGACATTTTTTTTTATAAACTAAGGTAGACAAACTTGTTTGTATTGTGATTATTTTAATGCACTTAGTTTATAGAGAAGTTACATAAAATATCAATTTTCAAATTAAGTAGTTACAAAATAAATAATGTGGATATATTTAAAAATGTCTTAGTATTTAATGTGTTAGCGGTTTTGTTTAAAAAAAAAAAACGAATTTTTGAAAGAACAATAATAATTGGTGTATAATTGGTGTATAATGCTTTGAATAAATATTTGTCTATGTGATTTTGTGATTTATATTTTAAATGCATTATACATTATACATACATGTTTTATAGAAAAAATAAATGATTGAGTTTTGTTATAGGCGTAACTTTTTGGTGCTACTATTTTGGTAAGGGAGAATAAATAATTACAACATAACATTTTGGAAAGTTGAAATATTATATCACAGACAACAAGTTATAATGAATTTCAAGAAACTGATAACAACAATGATTAAATCTCACAAAAAACATAAATTCTTATATATATTCGATAGACCAATAATAAAACCTATGAAGTTACGCCTATTGTGTTTAATTTTTTCATAAATATTTTGTAGTTACTTAATATACATCTTACAGAGAGGTTTAGTTTGTTCCATTGAAATAAATGATAACTAATACACCATAGACCTTAATTACCCAACCCCCTTGATACATTTCTGGATCCGCTCCAGATGTCGCTGTGGCACACGAACTACGGCTCGCCTTGCCCGTTACGCTCCTCGACCGCGAGGGTTTAGAGCACCCCCCGAAACCGTCGACTCGAATCGAACAAAGTAGTATACAATTAGGTATAATACAATTTTTTCTTTTGAATGTGAAATATAATCTTGATTAGACTAGATAATATTTTATTAAATATTTACATTTTGTACAAAGCACAATAAGTAAATTTGATCATATGACATGTTTTTTCTTTTGAGTTGTTTAAATAAGTAGGTAGGCTGGGATAACTAATCCATAGATAGAACCTAACATGATTTATTTTATTAAGTTTAAATATATGCTACTGGATATGAGTATGACCATATAGGATGCATCGTAGCAAACATTTAATATTATTCATTCAACTTTATATATAAATGTAGCCATCAAAATGTACTTTCAGGTATATAGGTAATTTATCAATGTAATAAATAATATTAACATTTTGAAAATCCCAATTATCAACTATATTTATCTAATCTAATAAAATATAAAGTATTAATGTTTAATTTTGAATATGGATATTCGATTCTACATTTCTACGTATTCTACATATTGATATTATTCATATTTAATTATACATGAATAATAAACTCAACTGTCATATTTTACTCAAGTCACGACTCGCTCCAATTGTTGAGCAATGGTGCAAAAATTCGTACTTTTTTTGCCAAATTGACCTTCCGAGTATTAATTAATAAAAGAATAATAAATAAGCATTTGTTTTCATTTAAACAAGAAGTTTCTTGCGGGCGCTTATTTGTATGTACAATTCAGAAAATGACGAGTGTTTTTATGGAAACGTTAAATCTTTTCATAACTGCTTCTAAAATAGTTGGAATAATGAATTTTTGTTGTACCATGGAATCTGGATTATTGTACCGGAACACGAAATCAACTTATTATATTTTTCTAGAATGTATACGAATGTTTGTATACTTAATTTTTTCTTATCATTTAATTTTCAATATTGGAAGTTTTTACATTCTCCTTAAATTCAATGTTATTAAATATTGGGCAATCGTCATAACAGCAAGAATATCGGAGAAATGGATAATAAAGTAAGAACATAATTAAAATATATGGATATTCAACATGTATAGAAAATATGATAAATAATAATTGGTAGGTACTTATAAATGATAGGTACATATACTTGTATATGCATTTGTAGCTTTTATATTTAAATAAAATATTACGAGGGTAATAATGTGCAACAAAATAACTAAAATTTTAGACTTAAATAATTGTTAACTTAAAAAATTAATTAGAAAAATAGAATAAAAAATATTTTTTTAACTTGACGAACTTCGTAAGAAATAAAAAATTTAATTGGTCTTATTTAAGATATTAGTCATGCTAATAGTTATATTCCATTAAATTACTTTGCTGTTCGCTAATTTTATCCTATCCTATCCATAATCTATCCATCTACCTATCTACCTATCTTATCTGTAACCATTAGCCAAGGTTTAATGAATAATATTACTGTACATTTTTTTCCCCTTTTTGGTATCCTGATATGGGGGTAAATTGTTTAGACAATACTAACCCCTTTCAACAACGTTTATTGAAGAAAAAAATTTCAAATTACATTACAAAGTATAAAATAAATAACAATCATGTCATCATGACTTCCGTGATTGTCCATCCCTTGGTGCCGTATGATAGAGTGCAGAGTCGTGGTCAGTTGTAACATCTCAGACATCTGGCCGCTGTCTCGTTCGCTCTTCATCCTGTTTAAAAAAATTATTGTCTCTACCATGCGGTACAATAATCTGTATGATTATTCTGCATAACTACTGAACACTTAGAATTAATGGGGCTGCAACGTAGCATATTTTAAGGAGTACTATTTAGGCAATTCATGTGACATATAAATTAATACTGTATCTATGTGTGAGTAGTAAATGAACATTAGTGTGCGTAATCCGTTATCGTTTCCGAGAATCGTTTCGGGCAACCGTGCCAGAAGCCAGTCTCACACGCGCACATAATTTTTCACCTAATTACTACTATATGTTTTTAATAATAATAAATATAATATAATTCAATAAATAATTAATAAATAAAAATTGAATGATTTTCAAAATATGAAAAAACTAAAAAAACAACATTTTTGAGAAACTTGTCAGCCAACCCTCCTCGTGGTGTTTCTTGGGTTATGCTAATAGGCTGAATATTTTACTAAATATTGAATAAAATATATAATGACCTGGGAATCAACTCGTACGTACCACTTAATGGCCCGGGAATCAACTCACCTATTGCGCACATGTCAATAAATCGCGAAAAATGAAATATATTCATTCTTGTTTGTATGACTATAAACTACTAAAAGCGGTAGTAAATTAATCATACTTCAAGAAGTTCGATTGTAATTTCGAAAAAAATGGTTGAATTTATAAACTTCTAGACTATGCTTCTTAGGAATCACTTTTTTTTATTTAAAATCAGATGTGCCAAATAAATACAAATGTAATAGGAATTCTAAAAAATAAATGGTTATTTTAAGGTCATTTTAAATTGAAAATTGAAAATCGACTTCCTAAGAAGCATAGATATGTTTCAATGAATTCAAACATGTATAAAAAATTTAAATCAGACATTCCGAAGTATGTGTAATTTACCATCGGTTATTGGTCTGAAACGTATTAAAAATACGTGCGTTGCAGCCCCCTTAAATCCAAACATCTAATGCTTATAAAATATAATATTAGCATGGTATGTTATTTACCTATGTAATATAAAAATAAACATGATGAATACCAATCACTTATCAGCCGTAGACATTTAAAATATGTATTGTAAGTACATATAATATATTAATTGTATTATAATTCGTTTCAGGTTTATTAATGGCATCATCGAATTCGACGGCAAACTGTTTTTATTAAATTCATCATTCCCTGTTAAATTATATTCAATAAGAAAAAAAATTTGGAATATTATTTTTGCTATTTTTGTTTTATTATTTCTTTGTGTACAATATTGTTACATTGGACCTCATGGTTTGATAATAGTTAAAGACTTATCTCATTATGTAACAGTCCTGTTCCATACACCAGATATTATTATCTTTGTAGTATGGATTACATCGTTTTATTATCTCAGTAACTTGGGGTACCGATTTTGTGAATTGAATAGGTTATGGAAATGTTTACCTTTTGGATTACTCGCTTTGCCAGGTGGATGGACAAATTCAGAGATAACAATGTTAGTAGAACGTATACGATTGTTACATGCTGAACTCTCTGAGTTGCTTAGATTGTTTAGTTTGGGTTACGGGCCAGTCTTATTGGTATATTTTACATTTACATTCGCCCATGCTTTAATAGAAACTTTTTTGTTAATAATATATAAGAACCCGCACAATGATAATATTTTTCCATACATCTTCTATCTACAACACATTTTTAACATGATTTCAATCATCTACGTCACCTCGTGGGTCATTGAAAAGGTTTGTAATATTTTTAAATAACTAAACGATTAGTACATAATAATATATACACAATTTTCTTATAATTTACCACGTTAGTATACGAAATATATTTAGTAGGTACTTGACTTCTTTTGTACAATTTTCTAAATTGTAGGCATTAATATGTTAACACATATATAATTTTTTCTTATTATTATAATATTATGTTTAATATAAATTTAAATGAGATTTTAAAAATATTATTCATTATGTATGTTTATTTATATTTAGCATTAACAATATACAATATTTTACAGAAAAAAAAAATTATTTCTCGTTTGCGATTAGTCCGAATTTCTGAAATGACTTTCAATACCAAGTTACAAGTGAGTACTAAAGTAAATCTAAATTATAATTATCTATAATCTTGATTTAGATTATAATTATATGTGTTATCTAACTTTTGTGACTGTTTGTTATATGATTACCTAATATGAACATTTTTGGATCAATTATCGATCATTAATAATAGATTAAAATATTCATGAATCAGATATCGATGTATGAACCAAATGAAATAACAGCCTTTGGATTCTTCAATATCGATTTAAAATTAACGATGTCAGTAAGTACCTATATTATGATAAATGTTTATTAATAATTTGTATATTAGCTAAACAAAAAAAGAAAAATCTTTTAAGTGGATGTCGCTCTGCTGTACATTGTATACAATAGTGGGTGACTGTTATTGATGGGGTTCAATTTGAAATCAATGATTTAGAATCATTGTACACGAAAAACGAATCCAAGTGAAATTGTCTGTCAGCCTATAATATTATTATGCTATAAGTACCTAGGTATATTTTATGATATTATTGTGATTGAAGTAATTCATACTAGTACATATCTACATTCTACTACAGTTTTACCAAAAAAAAATGCATTTTAAATGTCATTGTATTTATAAAAAATATAATAATACATAAACTCTAAGGACTAAAAGTTTTAATACCATGAATAATATTTTTACCACAAAATTAACTAAAAAGGTTCTTCTTGGTTTTATTATATAATTTTACCAAGTTTGAATTTAAAATTGTTGTAAAAAATAACTGTATTTATTTATTTTTATATTCGATAGTAGGTACAGTATGAACTATTTATGAGAATTTTTGTTTTAAATTTTCAATCCTTATAGCTAAAAAGTTGAACCTTTTATAAATTTTGCCAAAATTGGAACTTTAAATGCTTAAATTATTTATTTTTTGTTCCCTTCGAGACTTACGTTCATCAATACAATTAAAATTCTTAGTGATAGACGTTGCAGTGTAGCTTTAATATATTAATTATGTAAATAACTTCAAAACTGCTAAGTAAATATTCATTATTGGCAGACATTTTAATTGGGCACCCGTAGGTATCTGCCTTGCCCGGGTGAGGGATGGCGGCACTTGTTCTCCGGACAAAGTGACTTGTCCGAAGAAAAATGCCACCCGTGGCCAAGGAATCGAACTCGGGTCGGTTGAGTCGCAGCCGATGCCTTAGTCCGCTAGGCCACTCTGTCCCCCCTTTTAATTTTATAAGAGGTCAATTCACTCTAATTTTTAAATTAGTGGAGCTAATCGTAATCTGCTGATTCGAGTTGTGTGTCAATTATTTCGAGTCAAGTAGAGTTCAAAATTCGAGTAACGACTCGACAAATGCCGAGTATTTAAAAAAATGCGAGTACTCCACAAATTCTGAGTATGGTAAAAAGACGAGTATTCGACAAAAGCCGAGTGTGAAAAAAGTTGAGTATTAAACAAAAGCTGAGTATGAAAAAAGTTGAGTACTCGAGAAATTATCGGGGAGAGTAGGTACTGTTAATGCTTAAGTATTTTAAATTGTACTAAAAATAGATTTTCAAAAAATGTTATAATAAGTACCTAATATATTTAATTGAGGTTACCTTATCATCATAGTTATAATTAATAACATAATACTAACACATAATATTATGATATCGAATTTTAACCTTACAAAAGAATCAGCCAAACCGGGATTAATATATTAATAGCCGATATGTTTATAAAAAAAAAAACTGTGCATCTGTATTTTTAATATTTTTCAACTGCTATTGTTACAATATATCAGGAGCCTTGAAATTGTCACGCTTTTTAATACTACAAATAACATAACATTGACATTTATAGAAAAAAACTGAAAAATTTGAAAAATTCAAATTGCCGTAAAAAACAACTAAAAAAAAATTCAAATATAGAATGTTACGTAAACAGATCAAAACGAGACAACGTATGAATAACAAGAAAATAACAAAACCGCTACATGAAAAATCGAGTGATTATCCAATCTTGTAGAAATATGAACTTCAAAGGCTCATAAAAATTTAATTTGATTTGCTTGTAGACATTTATTTTATTTTTGATAAAAGTAGATAAACTTAAGAGTAATCTTGTATTACATTTTAAAATCTTAGATTTAAAAAGAAAAATTTTTATTAAATCTCAACTCAAAATAATTATTCAAATTTTAGTGATTTTTCCGTATTTTGTCAAGATTTGAACTTTAAATGCTTATAAAAAAAATTGTGACTGGATTTTTAATATTTTTCATCTGTCTTTGAAACAATATAATATTTATTTATTTATTTTTTTGTTTATTAAATGTTTTATTCAATCTGTTACACAAAGAACAATAAGAACAATTGATGAATAATAAAAGTAACAAAGTAGATACAACAGATCTCAGAAGTCTCCCATTGGAGGTACTACGTTAAAGAAATTTAATTAGTCAGTATAGGTTTCTACACCTTTTACGCTTTAGCTGTTTAGGAGGATTTCCGGGGATAGTTAAGGAAGAAATATCATGCATGAGTGGATATAGGCACATCTGCAACAAAGGGTATTGGCGGCTACGTTCGTTAAGCGTTAAACGTTTGGAGCGTATATGAGGGGCCCATGTAAGCCGGCGGTCTAGGGTTAGTCCAAGGTATTTGGCATTTTGAGAGTAGGGTAGGGGTTGATTATTGAGGAGTAATTGTGGACAGTCTCTGGGGCGTAATGTAAAGGTAGAGTGAAGCGATTTTGTTTGGTTCAATTGTAGGCCCCATTCTGAGTACCATGAGGCTAATAGATCAAGATGGGTTTGCATAAATGAGGCGACTATTTCTGGGTCAGCGTGGCATGCAAGTAGCGCTTTGTCGTCCGCAAAGTCGGCTACTATTGTGTTTTGAGTAGTGGGTTGATCCGCGGTGTAGATGTTAAAAAGGAGTGGTGCAATAAGTGCACCTTGCGGGACATCAGCTTCTATTTTAGAAATATTTGAAAAATTGTTCCTGAGCGCACAGAGAAGTGGCGATCTCTAAGGTATGATTTTATAAGTAGATACAAGTATGGAGGGAAAATTGCTTTAATTTTATGAAGGAGCCAGAAACAATATAATAGAAGTCTTTTCTTTTGTATTTCACAGCATTTTATTCACTGCATTGTTGACACTGAACTATTTATAACAAAAACCTTAAACAACGTGCTTTCGAACAAGCCATAAACCAACGCTATAATATTAATAGCCACTTAGTTGCCAGAGTTTCAGATAAGGAAGTAACCACGCCCCACCCTGTATTATTAACCAACTAAGTTATTCTTATTTGTATCTAACAAGATAAAAATATCTTTAATTATATTTTGTCCCATAATGGTAAAAAACTTTATCTTTAATTGTACTAGCACTAAGTAACAGAACATGATGTTCTATGAATAAGTTTAGGTGATAAGTCAGGAAAAGTGTATTGGTAGGTAATAATAACAAAATTTATATCTCACTTGATTACATTAAATTAACATTATATTATTACAGATTTTAGTATTATTGATTACTGCATTCTCGACCCTGCTGCAAATGAAAGATCACCCTTGGATATTGTACTTGAAGAACGCATGGATAGCCAACGTTGATTATATGCAAACTAATAACTAATAGATACGATTGGAAGGGATTCTTGGAAGACAGTGTCTTAAATGCCTAGCAGCTTGTATCACGAAACTCTTGAACTCTTCTGAAAAGCATTGAGTATAAATTGTAAATTAATTGTATCATAAAATTATTTTAATCTATAAAAGTACATATGCATCAATATTCATAAAAAAAAATCCGTTTGTGTATTAGTACGCAATACGCATGACAGAAGTGAATATTGAAAATTAATATTGAACTTTGATTGGATGTTCGACAGACGTTGTATAAGCATCGCCCCGTGTGCTATATAAATACAGTCCATACAGACATTACCTAGGTATATCAAAATAAATACATATTAATTTATAAATGACATAACGCAAAGTCACAAACAAAACGACGATTATATTTATATATATTTTTATAGTAATACGTATTACGTACCTACCTCAAGCATTTACGATAAATATAGAGTCTATATAATCTATAATAGTATCAAAAATCTTGGAACACAATTCAGTCGGAACATTTTGAAACTGTCATATCGATATATATCCGATGCTTCTACTTCAAATGAAATCGAAAAAAATGTCTACAGATACGATCATTTTTGCTTCAAAACAACTCGAGAAGTTTAAACCAATAGATGATTATAAAGAATTATTGAACTTATGTATTATTTTCTTGGGAGGAGTTCCTAAATAAGGTATATCTAAAAGATTCCCCGGACTTCATAGTGCTCGAAGCATAGCAAAATCCATATATTCCTTAAAGATATTATATTTATTAAGAGGACAATTTAAGCTGACGATAAAAGAAAATGTAGGAATTTGTGACATTTGTATTTTTACTGTAAGAATATACATAAAATATTGGTTTCAAGCTGCTTCAGCGATTTACTTACCTAGAAATGATATACAACTATTAAAAGATTTAAAGAAATGCGAAGAAGTAAATGTAATGATTTCTAAAAAAGCCATGAAGAAATTTCTTGGCCATCTTTGGTACTTATCAGAAGAACTGATCGCATTCACGTTTCTTGACGAAAATGTTTCTTCCGAAACAAAGAGAAACATGGTGGTTGCTATGTTAAATGAAGGAACGGAGCACCCAGTGAAACCCATAAGTTTGGAACCTGATATTGTTTTAAGAAAAAACTTAGAAGATTTTGCAACCGACAACATTCAGTGGCGTATTTATGATTTTGGCGCCCTGGGTACACACATTTTGGCCCCCCTTTTTCCTCAGTTTCCTTTTACTCATTTTCACAAAAAACTCTAATTTACAATTTACTTTTTCTCTCAGTTAATGGTGCAGAGCTTGAAACTGGTATAAACCGTTATAAACCGAAACTGAAAACAAAATTAAATCCGAAACCGAAAAAAATTGGAAACCGGTATTAAATTCAATACCGACTCGAAAAAAATTGGATTCATGTATTATAATTAAAAACCAAAAATATAATTTAAAAAACTGTATTTTTTTTTAAATTCTTTGTATCTTGACATTTTGGAAAGTTTAGTTTACACAATAGGCGATTGGACGCTCGATCCAGAGATTCAAAAAAATTAATAAACTAAGAATGAACGTAAATAGTTCAGGTTTTGAAACCGGTATAAACCATTTAAAAACTGAAACCGATAACAAAATCCAAAAACAAAACCGAAAAAAATTGGAAACCGGTGTACAAATCGAAACCAAAACAGAAATTTTTTCAATCGGTTTCAAGCCATGTAAAAGTGATAATTGTTAACCCAAAATGTATATTTTCCCCTCATTGTATTTATGCTTCCACTAATTTAGAGAACACTACTTTTATTTTGCTATTAACACTCCGTTTATTCCTAATTAAATAAACAAATTATAATTTTGATTTTAGCCTTTTAGCCTTTTTTTACGACAATTTAATAAAATAAATTATATATTTATATATTATTACATAGAAATATATATAGAAATGTCAAAGATATTATAAGAAAGATACAGGTATTCACTGATCAGTTATCAATAATTTAATTTCTCAACAAATCCAATAAAATAAAAAAATAATTCTGTTATAACCTCTAGCAACGGCGCCCCTTTGAGGACTCAGAATTTGGCGCCCCGGGACAATTTCCCCCCGTCGCCCCCCCCTAAATACGCCACTGACAACACTTGCAAATTCTTCGACATATTAGGAATTTTGTCTCAGTTTTTTTAATATATATATATATTGAACGTTATTAAATGCATTTATGTTGCCTATACAACGTGCCGCACTACATGCCTTCTAAATTGCATATGCCTGTCATTGATTTACAACAAAATAACAAAATCGATACATACGCGAGTAGGTACATGAGAAATCGAGTTAATATCTAATTTTGTAAAAATATGAAATTCAAAAGCTCATTAAAATTTAATTTGATTTGCTTGTAGAATTTTTTTTTTAATAAACTAAGGTAGACAAACTTGTTTGTATTGTGATTATTTTAATGTACTTAGTTTATAGAGAAGTTACATAAAATCTAAATTTTCAAATAAGTAGTAACAAAATAAATAATGTGGATACATTTAAAAATGTCTTAGTATTTAATGTGTTAGTGGTTTTTAAAAAAAATAAATAAATAAATGTTGGAAAGAACAATAATATTTTATAATAATTGGTGTATAAATGTATAATGCTGTGAATAAATATTTGTCTATGTGAATTTGTGACTTATATTTTATATGCATTATACATTATACATTCATGTTTTATAGAAAAAATAAATGAATGAGTTTTGTTATAGGCGTAACTGATACTATTTTGGTAAGTGAGAATAAATAATTACAACATAAAATTTTGAAAAGTTGAAATATTATATCACAGACAACAAGTTATACTGAATATCAAGAAACTGTTAACAACAATGATTAAATCTCACAAAAAACATAAATTCATATATATATTCGATAGACCAATACCTATAAAGTTACGCCTATTGTGTTTAATTTTTTAAACAAATATGACAAATATTTAAAATGTTAAATGTAACCACCAAAATGTACGTTTAGGTATATAGGTCATTTATCAATTTAATAAATAATATTAACATTTTTAATATCCCAATTATCAACTATATTTATCTAATCTAATAAAATATAAAGTATTAATGTTTAATTTTGAATATGGATATTCGATTCTACATTTCTACGTATTCTACATATTGATATTATTCATATTTAATTAATAATTATACATGAATAATAAACTCAACTGTCATATTTTACTCAAGTCACGACTCGCTCCAATTGTTGAGCAATGGTGCAAAAAGTCGTACTTTTTTTGCCAAATCGACCCTCCGAGTATTAATTAATAAAATCAATTTTAATAAAAGAATAATAAATACGCATTTGTTTTCATTTAAACAAGAAGTTTCTTGCGGGCGCTTATTTGTATGTACAATTCAGAAAATGACGAGTGTTTTTATGGAAACGTTAAATCTTTTCATAACTGTTTCTAAAATAGTTGGGCTGATGAACTTTTGTTGTACCATGGAATCTGGATTATTGTACCGGAATATGAAATCAACATATTATATTTTTCTAGAATGTATACGAATGTTTGTATACTTAATTATTTCTTATCATTTAATTTTCAATATTGGAAGTTTTATCATTCTCCTTAAATTCAATGTTATTAAATATTGGGCAATCGTCATAACAGCAAGAATATCGGAGAAATGGATAATAAAGTATGAATAGTTAAAATATATATTTAACATGTATAGAAAATATGATAAATAATAATTGATACTTATAAGTTATAGCTACATATAATTGTATATACATATGTAGGTTTTATATTTAAATATAATACTATGAGAGACGAGAGTAAGAATGTACACTCATTTTATATATTTTATATATATTTTAATATATTTTATTATTTTATATATGAATATTCAACATGTATAGAAAATATGAAATATGAAATAATAATTGGTAGGTACTTATAAGTGATGGATACATATACTAAATACTTGTATATGCATTTGTAGCTTTTATATTTAAATTAAATATTACGAGGGTAATAATGTTCAACAAAATAACTAAAATTGTAGACGTTTAACTTAAAAAATTAATTAGAAAAATAGAACTTCAAAAGAAGCATAGATATGTCATCAATGAATTCAAACATGTATAAAAAGAATTCAAATCTGACATTCCGAAGTATGTGTAATTTACTTTTATTGGTCTAAAACGTATTAGAAATACGTGCGTTGCGGCCCCCTTAAATCCAAACATCTAATGCTTATAAAATATAATAGGTATTAGCATGGTATGTTATTCACCTATGTAATATAAAATATAAAAATAAATATAATGAATACCAATCACTTATCAGCCGTAAACATTTAAAATATGTTTTGTAAGTACATTATAATATATTAATCATATTATTCGTATTATAATTCGTTTCAGGTTTATTAATGGCATCATCGAATTCGACAGCAAACTGTTTTTATTAAATTCATCATTCCCTGTTAAATTATATTCAATAAGAAAAAAAATTTGGAATATTATTTTTGCTATATTTGTTTTATTATTTCTTTGTGTACAATATTGTTATATTGGACCTCATGGTTTGATAATAGTTAAAGACTTATCTCTTTATATATCAGTCGTGTTCCATACACCAGATATTATTATCTTTGTAGTATGGATTACATCGTTTTATAATCTCAGTAACTTGGGGTACCGATTTTGTGAATTGAATAGGTTATGGAAATGTTTACCTTTTGGATTACTCGCTTTGCCAGGTGGATGGACAAATTCAGAGATAACAATGTTAGTAGAACGTATACGATTGTTACATGCTGAACTTTCTGAGTTGCTTAGATTGTTTAGTTTGGGTTACGGGCCAGTCTTATTGGTATATTTTACATTTACATTCGCCCACGCTTTAATAGAAACTTTTTTATTTACGATCTATAAGGATTCACTGAAGAATAACATTTTTCCATACATCTTCTATCTACAACACATTTTTAACATGATTTCAATCATCTACGTCACCTCGTGGGCAGGGCCGGACTGGCCCACTGTGCTACTGTGCTACAGCACAGTAGGCCGCGGCCGTGATAAAAATCTTTGCTGAGATTACAGAATAGTCTGAATCAGCTTTTTGGAAGTAAATCTAGTATTTACCGTGCGGCACTGCGGCGTGCTTAATGCATATCTTTTTTTATATTATATTGCTTTTGGTTATCAAATAAATAATAATAATATGTTGTCTGAGTTTTCTAATGGCGTGCGCGAGAAAAACGTGCATAATAATATGATAATGTAAAATTGTGATAACACGTTATCGTTATGTCATATGGACGTCTACTGACTGTTCACTGTTCAAATTAACTCATTGATTTATCAGTTTATTACATTTGTGTTTACTGTTTATTTACAAATTTTTTAGTTTATACAATTTTATTTGTATTTTGTTTTTGTAAATTATTATAACTGTGAGTCTGTGATACAATAATCATAAATTTTATTCAGTATGGAATCTTGTTTAAAGAAAAATGTTGCTAAGAAAGTATTCAAGGGTGGAGCAGAAAAAAAAGGCTAAAAAATGAGTTACAATTAAAAATTGCTGCAAAATCATGCCAAAAAATATCAAATATATTTGCAACAAATCAATCAAAACCAGTAAAGGTACAAATATTACCTAAGAAATTATCAATCTATAGACAATATTTATTAGTTAGTCAAAACTGAATGTTTCAAAATTGCAGATTACTGTAAATAAGATCATATTGGTTTGTTTTATATTTTTAAATTTTTACATAGGTCATTAATGCGCAACAAAATGTATTACCTACAAATAATTCACACTCAGTTGATGATGATAGTGTAGCAAGTGTGGTATCACCCGTATTGGATAATACGCGGTAAACCAACTTTATACCTTACCCTCGTACGCTCTAGGCTAATGACTGTCTCTAGAATAAATTCAGATTAGCACTGTTAACCTTTGAGGTACGATGGTAGCGTTTTGTCAGTTCTTCGTTCGTTTCCTAAATTGGAATGACTATTAGGACGCCACAACCAGAGCACTGTTCAGTTTGTAATAAACCTCATTGACTATAGGTGTGTGGGTCTGAGCACTGTTCCAATATTAAAGGTAAGAACGAAGAAGACTTTGAAATAAAACTCAACTCGGGTTTTTAGGTCGGAAACACTTTTATGATATTAAAACAAACATAAATGAAAAACTTAGCAAATCCGGATTGCCTAGCCCGTACTACGATCGACGTTTCACACGTACGACCACAGTACCTACGTCCTCGCCGATTCACTCAGCGACAACGGGACTCTCCGTGCCTGCGCGTGCGGCGGTGTTATATAGTAATCTTATAGCTGTCTCAGCGCATATGCTTCACTGACCTATGTCAATGGTTTACAATAAAAAGTTCCCACCTCTATTACATATATGAAATAATACGTATTTAGACGACTGTCTACAATATACGACACAAGTATTGATTTGGATTTACAGAATGAAAGTAGTAGTACAAAATTATTGAATGTAAGTTTTTTAAATAATTATTAAAATGTTCAGCATTTTTTGTTATTTGTTAGTTGCATATTTTAAACATTTTGCATAGGTCATTAATGCACAACAAAATGTATTACCTACAAATAATTCACACTCAGTTGATGATGATAGTGTAGGTACGTTTAATATTTGTTATACTTATAAACCTTTAAAAAAGATATTTTTAGTTAATAATTCTAAATAAAATAAATAAATTCACAAAAAATAGTTTTGCATTTTTAATGAACTCCACTAATTTTTTGTGTATTATTTTAAAGTGTATACCTTAAAGTACAAAGTAAATTTATTTTATATAATATCATGGGACATGGATTATGGATATTGGATAATATCACATAACTAATCATGATTGTTGAATATAAAGGTTATAAGATAGTGCCCCCCTCTAACCTCTTTAAATCCTACCAAATATCAATTTTGTGAGACAGACACATTTAAAAATTCCTGAAATAATACATTGTGGGCCGCCTGCTTACCTAGAATAGTAGGCCGATACCCTCCCAGTCCGGCCCTGCTCGTGGGTCATTGAAAAGGTTTGTAATATTTTTAAATAACTAAACGATTAGTACATAATAATATATACACAATTTTCTTATAATTTACCACGTTAGTATACGAAATATATTTAGTAGGTACTAGATTTCTTTTGTACAATTTTCTAAATTGTAGGCATTAATATGTTAACACATATATAATTTTTTCACATTATTATAATATTATGTTTAATATAAATTTAAATGAGTATATAGTAGTTTTTAAGTGTCCATTCATTGTCAGTTTTGTGTCCATCGCTACGCCGAGGTATTTTATTTGGTTTTTCCATTTGACTGCTTGGTTTTTGATTTTTATTTGCCGAAGATGTTTATTCTGTCTACTTCCAAATATAATGGTTTCGGTCTTGTCAATATTTAATTTAAGTCTCCATTTGTCTATCCAGAGCATGGTCTCATCCATTTGTCTTTGTAGTTGACATATTGCGTAGTTCTTGTTTTGATGGGCCGTGTGGAACATAGTATCGTCTGCGAAGATGGATGTTTGTATTCTGTCGAGAAGTGGGAGATCATTTACATAGTGGATGTAGAGTAGAGGTGAGAGGCAGGAACCTTGTGGTACTCCTGCTTGTATTTGTCTTGCCGTTGATTATTGGTCAACTACTCGTACTTGGAACGAACGATCTGATAAGAATGATTTAATTAATTTGATTGTATTTATTGGGAGTTCGGTGTTAGTTTTTAATTTGTAGATTAGACCATCGTGGCACACGCGGTCGAAGGCCTTCTCCATATTTAGAAATGTTGCAACAGTGTATTTATTTTGATTTTGATTGTTTTTTATGTCTTTGAATAGACGAAAGAGTTGTGTGGTGGTTGAGTGGCCTTCTCTGAATGCGTGTTGCTCCGCTCGAGGTTTTACGTATGTACGCAGAGTTCCCAGGATAATTTTTTCAAATACTTTTGAAATGGTTGAGAGTAGAGATATTGGGCGGTGGTTTTCTGGGATGGAGTGGTTTTTTCCCGGTTTTGGAATCATGACGATAGTGGCTTTTTTCCAAATCTTAGGGAAGTAGGAAATTCGAAGACATGCCGTGAAAATTTGTGCTATTTGTGTGATAATGTTGTTTGGTAGGTTTTTGAGTGCTGTGTTTGATATGTTATCATATCCTGGTGATTTGCCATTTGGTAGTTTATTGATGATGTCTAGGACTTGCTTGGGATTGATGTAGATGTTTGATGTAGTCTGGTCAAGATTTATTTCTGTGATGGTTTCGTTTACTTCTTGTAAGTCAATTCCTGTATTCCCTGTAAATTGGTTTTCCATGGTGTCTGCGAATAATTCTGCTTTTTCGTCGGCTTCAAATATCTTGTGGCCAGCAGTTGTTTGTAGCGGCGTGTCTGCGGCTTTCTTGTTGAGGAGACGGCGGTTTAGTTGGTATAGTGATTTGTTTTTGAAGTTTAACGTTTCTGTGAAAGCGTTCCATTGCGTTTGTCTGTGTTCAATTAATAAGTTTTTAACGTACGCAATTTGAGCGTTGTATAGACGTTTTGTTTTCGGGTCTCTGGTGGATTGCCACATTTTCCTAAGTTGTCGTTTGGTTATTATTTCTAACATTATTTCATCAGGGAGTTGAGATATGACTTGTTTTGGTTTGAGAGTGTAGGAGGCATTTTCTTGTGCATTTCGAATGGTGGTTGTTAGATTGTCGATTTTGTTGTCAATTTCTTCCGGTGTTTGAACGCGGTCGATTTTTATATAGGAGAGTTCTATTTTGAATTTGGCCCAGTTAGTTTTCTTTAGTATTTTAGGTGGGTTGTTTGAGATTGGTGATGCATTTAAATTTAATTGGATTGGATTATGGTCTGACGACAGGTCATTGTGATTTATTATTGTGTATTGAATTGACGGTAGATCCAGTAGTATGATGTCAAGGACGTCTGGACGATGAGTTTGTATATATGGAAAATGTGTCGGTGAATCAGGGGCAACAATTGTATAATTGTTTGCTTCCGAGTGGCGAAGTAATTTTCTGCCTGCAGTATTTGTTGAGAAGCTGTTCCAGCTCGGATGTTTGGAGTTTAAGTCTCCGGCTATTATGAAGGGCCCATTGTGGTTTGTTAGAATGTTTAGGTCATTGTGGTGGAGATTTGCATTAGGACTTTTGTATACTGCCGTGATTTGTGTTAATTTGTTTTTGAGTTTCAATTGTATTGTGGTAGATTCTATAGTGGTTGGTAGCGTAACATGTTGATGGGTTATATTCTTCCGTATTAAAATTGCTGTGCCTCCTGAAGAGGGAGCGGTTGGTGTTTTTGGGCGGTCGGTTCGGTAAACATGATAGTTTGGTATTGATATTTTATTTTTGGGGTTTAGTCGGGTTTCACAAAGTAGGATTATGTCGATTTTATTTTGTTTTACAAATGCGGTGAGTTCTGATATTCGGTTTCCGATACCGTTGCAGTTCCATGATAAGACTTTTAGGTCATTCATCATGGGATGTAGGGATGGCATTTATGATTCTCAGGACTGTTGTGATGACCGCATTTTTTGATGCGACGTCTTCACTTTCTTGAGCTGTTGTAAGGAGGTCTTTGATTATTTGCAAGAGCTTGGATGCGTTTATTGTAGGTTCTGGCTTTTCTGCTTGGTGTTTTGTTACGCTCGCGTAAGATTTAATTGTTGATGCTATGGTCGTTTCGTGTGTTGCGGGTAGTGGTATAGGCGTTGGTATCGCTGTCTGTATGGATTTGTTTCTTGCTTCTCTGGAGTGGTCTATTTTTCCTTTGTAAATATCTGTGTAGTATGGGCAGCCCCTATAGTTTGCGGTGTGTTTTCCATTACAGTTGCAACAGGTTGGGGTATCTTCTTTCGGTTTCTTACATTCCTTGTTTGAATGGTTTGCTCCACACTTAACGCATCTTGGAGGGTGTCCGCACTGGAGTGATGAGTGGCCAAATCTCTGGCATGAAAAGCATTGGGCGGGACCCGTTGATTTATATGGTTCTATTTTTACTCGGACGTAGAAAAGTTCAGTGGTTTCAAATATTTCTTTCACATTTTCTGTGCGTTTTAGGGAGACCATGTGGATTGGAAGTCTTTTATCATTTTTTACGAAAGCACGGACAAAATTTGGTTTGAAACCTTCCTCTAGAAGTTCTTCCATGAGTTCATCGTCAGTAATATCAAGTGGAACACCTTTAATTACAATCTTAAGAGATTGTTCTTTGGGTAATGCAAAGGTGTGGAAGCTGATTTTGTTGATGGTCATGAATTGTTGGACGAGTCTGAATGAGGACTCTTCAGGGCAGTTTATTTGGATTTGTAAAGGAATCGATGTAGTTTTTGCGGTCACTTGGTCGAGACCTTGGTTTTTTGTGTACATGGCTTTTGCTATTTTCCGCCATGGATTGTCAGAGGTTGTTTGGATCAGAATTGGTGGTATACGGGTGGAGCGTTTATTGTCGGATTGTGGGTAATTTTTAGCTGATTTTTTGTTTGTCTCGTCAGTGTCCGAAGGAGGAGTAGACATGGTATCATTAGAATCGGAATACTCAGATTCGTCCATAGAAACGGAACGAGAACGGTTGTTGCTGTAAGTGGTAATATTCGTGTCCGGAATTGGTGAACAATTGGTGGCCAAGACCAGCTTCTTCAGAGTTGAATTTTCAGGAGGTGAGACAGTGCTGGACTGGCTTGCTTTGCGTTTTTTCGATGTGGCAGGTAAGTCTTTAAGGCATGAGTTTAATGGCAATGATGGAGGTGAGAAGGCCCGAATACGACCCTTTTTATCGGTTGGATAAGGTGGTGTTGATTTTCGTTTGTTGCGTCCGACGCCACCACGATGAGTCATGGTCGGCGAGAATACGCGCGGATTGGTACCTTTGCAACCGGTGCGTGACCCGGCGTCGGTGATCCCTCAGATACCTTGCCTCGTGGTCGAGCGGGGGGGATATTTAAAGGAATTTCTACTTACGTGAGTCTGCGTTGAGCCTGATGACTGGAAGACGGAGGTCGTCGTGTGGTTAGGTTAGTCGTCGTGCGGAATCTTGACTTTGCTGACGTTGCTTGACCTTGACCATTTGATGTGAACTGAACGTTGACTGATTGACACTACTGATGGATGTGAACTGAACGTTGACTGATGAACTAACCTAACTAGATTGTCGAGAGTGTCCGGTATTTATACCCTTTTCGACAATCTAGTCCATCGTTGATTGGTCCGCGTAATATGTTTTAGACGAGTGAAAATCACACCGTTGAACGGACATTCATATCTATCATGTGTGATTTTCACTCGTCATATCGTGTCCTTTTTTTCAATCGTCTTTACTTGGTGGGTGTTTGTTCCGTAACATGGGGTTCAATTTGAAATCAATGATTTAGAATCATTGTACACGAAAAACGAATCCAAGTGAAATTGTCTGTCAGCCTATAATATTATTATGCTATAAGTACCTAGGTATATTTTATGATATTATTGAGATTAAAGTAATTCATACTACATATCTACATTCTACTACAGTTGGTTAAATTAATTTTTACCAAAAAAATGCATTTTAAATGTCATTGTATTTATAAAAAATATAATAATACATAAACTCTAAGGACTAAAAGTTTTAATACCATGAATAATATTTTTACCACAAAATTAACTAAGAGGGTTCTTGGTTTTATTATATAATTTTATCAAGTTTGAATTTAAAATTGTTGGAAAAAATAACTGTATTTATTTTTATATTCGATAGTACAGTATGAACTATTTATGAGAATCTTTGTTTTAAATTTTCTATCCTTATAGCTAAAAAGTTGAACATTCTATGTATTTTAAAATTTAAAATTTTGCCAAAATTTGAACTTTAAATGCTTAAATAATTTTTTTTTTGTTCCCTTCGAGACTTACGTCTATAAATACAATAAAAAATCCTTAGTGATAGACGTTACAGTATAGCATTAATATATTAATTATGTAAATAACTTCAAAACTGCTAAACAAATATTCATTATTGGCAGAATTTTTAATTGGGTACCCGTAGGTATCTGCCATGTCCAGGTGGGGGATGGCGGCACTTGTTCTCCGGACACCGTGACTTGTCCGAAGAAAAATGCCACCCGTGGTCGGCCGTATATCATTTGCGCATCGTCTGTTTACCTGTGCGAAAATATCGTACATCATAATTATGCGCATCAAAATTCTGAACAATAGAAAGGTATAATAATAATTGTACACACATATAATATTATATAGATAATGAATAATTTAATATATATTGGAACAAGTTTTTGTTCAATAAGCATTTAAAGTTCAAATGTTGACAAAATTTATCAAAAGCTCATCAATTTGCAAATTATTTTGTAGTTAAAAATTTAATACTCAGTTTAATTGGGCACATTACATGGTCATAGTTATAGTAAAAAATTTACAATATATAACAAGTATTTTAAATTGTAATAAAAATATATTTTCAAACAATTTTATTAAGTACCTAATGTAATTATTAATTTAGGTTATCTTATCATAGTTATAATTAATAACATAATACTAACACATAAAATTATATCGAATTCTAACCTTACAAAAGAATCAGCTAAACCGGGATTAATAGATCAATAGCTGAATAGCCGATATGCTTATAAAAAAAAAACTGTGCATCTGTATTTTTAATATTTTTCAACTGCTATTGTTACAATATATCAGGAGCCTTGTATTAAACTTTCACGCTTTTTTACCAAACAAATAAAATTTTATTGATATTTATAAAAAAAAAAACTAAGAAAATTGAAAACTGACAATGTCCGTAAACAGCTCAAAGAGAGTCAAAATATTTTCAAATTTTTTTGGTGTATAGAAAATGAAAATATAAACATTCTTTAAAATGTTCATGTATCTACAGATATTCGTTTTTGAATAACAATAAAATAACAAAACCGCTACATGAAAAATCGAGTGAATATCCAATCTTGTAAAAATATGAACTCCAAAGGCTCATAAAAATTTAATTTGATTTGCTTGTAGACATTTTTTTTTTTGATAAAAGTTGATAAACTTAAGAGTAATCTTGTATTACTTTTTAAAATTTTTTATTAAATCTCAACTCAAAATAATTATTGCTAATTTTAGTGGTTTTTCCGTATTTTGTCAAGATTTGAACTTTAAATGCTTATAAAAAAAATTGTGACTGAATTTTTAATATTTTTCATCTGGCTTTGAAACAATATAATAGAAGTCTTTTCTTTTGTACTTCACAGTATTTTGTCCACTGCATTGTTGACACTAAAATAGTCATAACAATAACCTTAGATAACGTGCTGTCGGACAAGCCATAAACCAACGCTATAATATATTAATAGCCGCCTAGTTGCCAGAGTTTCAGATAAGGAAGTAACCCACCCTGTATACTAAGTTATCCTTATTTGTACCTAACAAGATAAAGATATCTTTAGTTATATTTTGTCCCATAATGGTAAAAAACTTTATCTTTAATTGTACTAGCACTGAATCATAGAACATGACTTTCTATGAATAAGTTTAAGTGATAAGTCAGGAAAAGTGTATAGGTAGGTATTAATAACAAAATTAATATCTCACTTGATTACATTATATTAATATTATATTATTACAGATTTTAGTATTATTGATTACTGCGATCTCGACCCTGCTGCAAATGAAAGATCACCCTTGGATATTGTACTTGAAGAACGCATGGATAGCCAACGTTGATTATATGCAAACTAATAACTAATAGATACGATTGGAAGGGATTCTTGGAAGACAGTGTCTTAAATGCCTAGCAGCTTGTATCACGAAACTCTTGAACTCTTCTGAAAAGCATTGAGTATAAATTGTAAATTAATTGTATCATGAAATTATTTTAATCTATAAAAGTGCATAGGCATCAATATTTATAAAAAAAAATCCGTTTGTGTATTAGTACGCAATACGCATGACAGAAGTGAATATTGAAAATTAATATTGAACTTTGATTGGATGTTCGACAGACGTTGTATAAGCATCGCCCCGTGTGCTATATAAATACAGTCCATACAGACATTACCTAGGTATATCAAAATAAATACATATTAATTTATAAATGACATAACGCAAAGTCACAAACAAAACGACGATTATATTTATATATATTTTTATAGTAATACGTATTACGTACCTACCTCAAGCATTTACGATAAATATAGAGTCTATATAATATCTATAATGTTGTCAAAAATCTTGGAACACAATTCAGTCGGAACATTTTGAAACTGTCATATCGATATATATCCGATGCTTCTACTTCAAATGAAATCGAAAAAATTTGTATTTTTACTGTAAGAATATACATAAAATATTGGTTTCAAGCTGCTTCAGCGATTTACTCACCTAGAAATGATACACAACTATTAAAAGATTTAAAGAAATACGAAGAAGTAAATGTAATGATTTCTAAAAAAGCCATGAAGAAATTTCTTGGCCATCTTTGGTACTTATCAGAAGAACTGATCGCATTCACGTTTCTTGACGAAAATGTTTCTTCAGAAACAAAAAGAAACATGGTGGTTGCTATGTTAAATGAAGGAACGGAGCACCCAGTGAAACGCATAAGTTTGGAACCTGATATTGTTTTAAGAAAAAACTTAGAAGATTTTGCAACCGACAACACTTGCAAATTCTTTGACATATTAGGAATTTCGTCTCAGTTTTTTAACCATTGGGATGAAAAGAAGATTATAAAAAAACTAAAGCAATCGTTCAGTTAATGAGAGTTGTCAACGATATGGCAAAGAGAGGAGTGGCTTTGATGGATGAATATAACAAATTACACACCACAAATGAAGAACACAAATAGTTCCTTTTGTTACTCATAAACCAGTTTAAGCTAAAATATCCAGATAGAAAAAAATCAACTTGAATATTATAATAATGTAAAAACTTAAAACCTAAAATTTAATTAAATAGTATAGCTAATTAAAATAATAATACCTATTATTGCTTATATGTGAAAAATATACTATTTTTTTTATAGATAATAAAATATACATACAATAAATTTTTTTCAAAATTTATCAATTTTTAATTCCTGGTAGTAACCTTTAAAAAAAAATTTTTTAAAAAAAGGTGGTCTGCTGTACAGTAGGTTACAAGTGGGTCACTGTATTATGGAAGGTATTAAATTTTAATTCAATGATATAATTTCATTGTATAAGAAAAACGATTCTGAGTGGAGACGGTATGTCAGTCTAGGTATAGGTAAGACACTAAGACATATTAGTATATTATAATATACTTATCTATGGTATTAAAAAAAACAATTAATCTATAATAAAGTCGTCGCAAATTTTCTCGGCACTTTGGTGGTGCAAATGTCTCGTCCAGGTAGCGCCACCATTCGCCTGAAGGCCGGTTTTTATATTGTGAATACATTGTTATTAACACTAATAACACTTACAATTACCATATTATAATTACAACTTAATTATTCTATACTGCATACTGCATAGACCAAAGCCAAATAGACTTATATAATTATAATTAACTAGACTATAGTCTTTAATAGTAATATACTATTGTGATGGTACGCAGTATCACTTTTTGGCGAAAATGAGTTATAGCCAATCTTATAAAACTTTATACGCTTTTTCTAGTGGTAAAAGGGCATATCTCAATAATAATTAAAGCAAGATATGAGAAGACCTGCAATGTCATGAAAATCACAAAATCTATGGGGCATATGTGAACATTGGCCCCTCTATGTATAAATAATATAATGAAAATTTTTTTTTTAATTATGATTTTATAGGGCCAATGTAAATAGAAAACCTTCAATATTTAACTAAAAAATTCACAACATATTCTAAAATGTAGGGTAAACTTTATTTACATCCATCAAAAAAACAAAAACTTGAACAATAAAAAAAAATTGCTATGAATTTTCAAGAAAAAAATAGGTTTTATTCTTGATTACTACAAAGTGATTAAAAGTGAGATTAGCCCTTTTCGACCCAAGCGGCCAAGCCCCAGATTTATTGATGTTTACAAAAAATAGCTTTACTCACATTAACTGATAATATTTTGTAATATTCCAAATTCCAATTATAAAATTTGCAATAGTTCAAAACGTTTGATTGCAATGAATGAATAAAATATTTGTTCTTGATACAACATAAAATATAGTCGATTAATGATCATTTTTTGATCCATATAGTAGACCAGTATTTCGTAAAAAGAATATTGCACTATTGTTAAATTGATTTACATAAAAATAAATATTTTATATTTGGATAAAACGTGTGTTGTAAATATTTATTTAGCTATCCAACTCTAGATTATAGTTAATAGGTACCTACTTAATTTTATCTTGTTAACATTTTAACATTAAAACTTTAAAATTGTTATAAACCGCTATATATTACACTATAGTGACTAATTAATAATTATACATATTAGTAAATTGCCTACATAAAATGTAATATTTTAAGTATCTGTAATCGGTATTGTTATGACTTTTTTAGTTATGAAAACATTTAAAATAATTGAAATCAAATATTTTTTAATAAGTTCAAACACAGTTTTATTTAGTCAAGTAGTTTAGTATCTTCTGGTTTACTATGATATTTGTACACGATGTTTTAATTAAATTGAAAATCTAAATAAACAAAAAACTAAAAAGTACACAATTAGGTATATAATAAATTTTTTTCTTTTTAATATGAAATATAATCTTGATTAGACTATATAATATTTTATTTAATATTTACACAATAAGTAAATTTGATCATATGACATGTTTTTTCTATTGGGTTGTTTAAATAAGTAGGTATAGGCTGGGATAACTAATCCTGTATAGATAGAACCTAACATGATTTATTTTATTAAGTTTGAATATACATATATATGCTACTGGATATGACCATATGTCCATATAAAATGCTTAAATGCATCGTCGTAATTTATCAGAGTAAGAAATAATAATAATATCTATGAATATATATGGATATCCTGCATCTCAACAGTCATCTATATCTAATTTAAAAAAGTATAAATACCCACCTATTAATGTTTAATTTTCGATAATGGATATTGAATTCTACGCATAGTCTACATATTTTATATTATTTACATTTAATTATAAATTAATAATAAACTCAACTGTCATAATTTACTCAAGTTGTGACTCGCTCCAATTGTTACGCAATGGTTAGGTTAGTAACCTTTGGTTTGACGAATTGAAGTTCCAATTATCCGATTATTTTAATAAACGAATAATAAATAAGTATTTGTTTTAAATGAAACAAAAAGTGTCTAGCAGGTGCTCGTTTTTATGTACAATTTAGAAAATGAAGAGTGTTTTTATTGAAACGCTAAATCTTTTCATAACTGCTTCTAAAATAGTTGGAATAATGAATTTTTGTTGTACCGTGGAATCTGGATTCTTGTACCGGAACACGAAATCAACGTTTTATATTTTTCTAGAATGTATACGAATGTTTGTATATTTAATTTGTACTTATCATATAATTTTCAACATGGGAATTGCTTACATTCTCGTTCATTTCAATATCATCAAATATTGGGCCATCGTCATAACGGCAAGAATATCGGAGAAATGGATAATAAAGTATGAACAGTTAAAATATATAGAAAATACTATAAACAATAAAAAGTACTTATAAGTTATGGCTACACATAATTTTATATGCATATGTAATTTTATATTTAAATTATATTATATGAAAGTAAAAATGAACACATATTTTAAAAATGTACTGCGAGGGAAGCGATATACAATTTTCGCGGCCCTTTTATTCGAGTCCCGGTAACAGAAAATGTCCCTATCCGCCACTGTTCTAAACTCCTTACTTTTTATTCTTTTTTTGTAATTTTATTCTACGATACATAATTCTGACAAAATAAACTTTTTTGGGGATAAAATAAATTTTCTACACGTGAAAAGCATTATTTTCTCTATATTATATGTTATTTGAAAAAATGCGAAAAAAATATTCCGATCAGAAAATATCCTAACCTGTGTCCTGACCTAAGTTGTTTCAACTTGTTTGTCGTTATTTTCAAGTTAAAAACTAATTGTTGCTAGTGTTTGAAGTATGTGAAATATTTCATGAAATATTTCAAATGAAATATTTCATTTTGAAATATTTCACTAAGTTGTGAAATATTTCACAAAAACGTGAAACATTGAAATTTTTTTTAACACAAATAAAAACACAATTTATTTATTTTTTTAACACAATGTTCAGTGTTCTAAATTCTAATGTCAGAATTCAGTAAGTATAAAATATACATGTATAATATTGTATACCTACTTATATCATTTAAACATTAAAATATTTAAAAATTTTGAATACCAATTTAAATGTATAATACCAAAGGTTAGGTATACATACAGGTACCATATAGTGATGAAGGTAATTTATGACAATTATGTGTAAATATAAAACTTATTTAAAAATAAAACAAAATCTATTAAAATACTGAAATATTTCACATATTTTGAAATATTTCATGAAATATTTCACGAAATATTTCATTTTTTTAAATTTCATGAAATTTTCAAACACTAATTGTTGCCAATACAAAATATAGCATATGTTATAATCTAGACTCAAATTATTATAATATTACTAGGAACTATGTAGGTATATTAAAACCAACGTATTTATGTATCAGAGAACAGTCTATACAAAGCTTAAACAAATTTAATTATTTTGAAAATTGCACTGTAAATAATGTACCTAGTAGATAATAAAATACTCAATACTCAATATTCCTTGCAAATAATATTTACAGAATAACAAAAAAAAAAATTAGAAAAAAAGAATATACAGAGAATTTCATAAAAAAAATTATATTGATCGGTAAGATCAAATTAGTAACATGTTAAGTAACATTAAATACATTTAAGGTTGTACATTTTTCCCTATTATATAACAATCAGCCACGGTCAACTAAATAATATAACTGAACATTTAGAATTAAATTCAAACATCTCATACTTATAAACAAATAATACTAATATGAGCATGGTATGTTATTTATCTAAGTAATCAATTAAATACTTATCACCCATCAGCCGTAAATATTCAAATGTATTATACATATTATAGATTAATTATTGTATTGTATTTTATTTCAGGTTTATTAATGGAATCATCGAATTTGATATGAAACTATTTTTATTTAATTCATCGACCCCTGTTAAATTATATTCAAAGAGTAAAACATTTTGGATTTTTATTTTTGCTAGTTTTGTTTTGTATTTTCTTTGTTGTCAATATTTTCTTATTAAATGTTTTGGTAGAACAATTAAAGACTTATCTGAATATCTAACGGTCGTGTTCCATTCACCAGATATTATTATCTTTACAGTAATGTTTACATCGCTTTATTATCTCACTAATTTGGGGTACCGATTTTGTGAATTGAATAGGTTATGGAAATGTTTACCTTTTGGATTACTAGCTTTGCCAGGTGGATGGACAAATTCAGAGATAACTATGTTAGTAGAACGTATACGATTGTTACATGCTGAACTTTCTGAGTTGCTTAGATTGTTTAGTTTGGGTTACGGGCCAGTCTTATTGGTATATTTTACATTTACATTCACCCATACTTTAATAGAAACATTTTTATTTACGATATATAAGGATTCACTGAAAAATAATATTTTTCCATACATCTTCTATCTACAACACATTTTTAACATGATTTCAATCATCTACGTCACCTCGTGGGTCATTGAAAAGGTTTGAAATATTTTTTTAATGGGTAACTAAATGATTAGTACATAATATACGCAGTTTTTTTATACCACGTTAATTTAAATTTTTAATATAGGAAATATATTCACAAGTTATTAGACTTATTTTTGCACTTATTTATAACGTTTAGGTAATAATATTTGTTAAATTTGATATTAATAACACTTCACTTATAATTGATAAATTAAATAATAGACTATAATTAATAATATGTGTGTATGTACTATCTTTTAGCTTACCTAAATACCTATACTCTATTCAAAATTAGACCGTGACCGGGCGGCCGAGTTGTGCGCATGGGCGTGGCTTTGTTTCGTGGCAGAGCCCCACGCACCGCCGTGGTGGGGACGGCGTTTCACCATATGTCTGACCGCCGCCGGACGAGAACTGGTCGCCGCCTGGTCACGGTCTTATTTTGAATAGAGTTTAGTAAAAAAAAAAAAAAAATATTAATAATATATAATATATATATTCATTTTTTTTATTATTTTAATAGTATGTGTAATTTCAATTCAAATAAGATTTTTAAAAAATTATTCATTATGTATGTTTATTTATATTTATATTAGCGTTTAAAATATATATTTTTAGAAAAAAAAAATTATTTCACATTTGCGATTGGTCCGAATTTCTAAAATGACTATCCATACAAAGTTACAAGTGAGTACTAAAATAAATCTAAATTATAATCATCTATAATCTGTATTTAGATTATAATTATATGTGTTATCTAACTTTTGTGACTGTTTGTTATATGATTACCTACTATGAACATTTTTGGATCAATTATCGATCATTAATAATAGATTAAAATATTCATGAATCAGATATCGATGTATGAACCAAATGAAATAACAGCCTTTGGATTCTTCAATATTGATTTTAAATTAACGATGTCAGTAAGTACCTATACTCTGTTCAAAATAAGATCGTGACCCGGCGGCCGAGTTGTGCGCATGGGCGTGGCTTTGTTCCGTGGCTGCGCCCGACGCGTCGCTGTAGTGGGGACGGCATCTGGCCATATGTCTGACCGCCGCCCGACGAAAACTGGTCGCCGCCGGGTCACGATCTTATTTTGAACAGAGTATATATTAATACTTGATATAAAATCATTGTAAATAAAAAACAATTCTTAGCTAACGCTGTCTGTCAGTCATAATATTATATAACTAAGTACTAAGTAGATATATTTTATAATATTATTGTGATTAAAGTAATTAATTTTATTCTTAGCCATTATAGGCATTAATATTTACTACAGTTAGGTAGTTAAATTTATTTTTGCCAAATAATTATCATTTAAAAATGGCATTGTGTGTATAAAATACAATAATTTACTCTAAATGTTTCATTTATCGACGAATAATATTTTTACTAACAAAAAAATGAAGTATGAACTAAATTTGTTAATCTTAGTTTTAATATATTATTTCGTCCAAGTTTGACTTTAGAAACTTTGTAAAAAGTAACTGTGTTCACTGTTTATATATATTTAGATTTTATGGTACAGTATGTATATCTTTGTTTTAATTTTTCCATCCTGAGCTATAAAAGTTGAACATTTTATCCATTTTTAGCTACAAAAGCATTTTAGCTTTGAAAATTTGATACATTTTGTCAGAATTCGAACTTTCAATGCTTATAGAAAAAAAAACTGTAATATTTGTTATTAATGTTTTACAACTGCTATCTTAAAACTATATCATTAGCCTTGTACTAAATTTTCACACTTTTAAACACAACAATTAACATTATTCTATTTATTTATAGAAAAAAAAAAAAGGAAAAGATTTTCAAATTGAAAATCTCCGCAAAAAGCTCTAAACGAATCACAATATTTTATCAAGTCCAGTAAATGATAAAATAAACATTTGGTGTAAATTTCAAGAACCTATTGTTATTAGTTTTGGAATAACAACAAAATAAGAAAATCATTGTATGAGAAATTGAGTGAATATCTAATATTGTAGAAAAACTTCAAACGCTTGTAAAATTAAATTTGAATTTCCTGTAGTCTTTAACCCAACCAATTAATACTTATTTGTACCTAAAAAGATAAAAAATATTGTAATATTTTATCCCATAATATTAAAAAAAACCTTTATCTTGAATTTTACTAGTACTATAAGTCATAGAACACAATATTCAGCTATGACTTAGTTGGGTGTTAAGTCAGGAAAATCATATAGGTAATCATAACAAAATTAATATCTCACTTGATTACATTATATCAATATATTATTACAGATTTTAGTATTATTGATTACTGCGATCTCAACCATGCTGCAAATGAAAAATCACCCGTGGATATTGTACTTGAAGAACGCATGGTTAGATACGGTTTATAAAATGCAAAATAATAAGTATTAAGTATCTTATACATTACAAATATGAGTTAATCGTAGATTATTACCTATCGATAATAACTTTTAATTGTCATTTTGAGTTTTGACATCTTCATCATATTGTTCACATTTTTAATTTAATTTTTAACATAACTTTTGATATTAATATAATACGCAATTATAATTTATAATCATTTTTGATTTTTTTATAATTTCAACATTTCTAGGTCATCAAATTCCTAAATTAATTTATAAATATATTATAATTTATAGCACTAAGTAATATTTGGCTATTATCAAACTAGTTGATTAAAAAAACTTTGATTATTTTGACTATATTGTTAATATACTTTATTTTAAAACATTTTTATTGACTTTTTATTTAATTTTTAATTTTTAATTTTTACATTTTAACGACACACATGTCAATTCATAGCGAAAAATGATATAATCTTGTTTGCATGACTATAAAACTACTAAAAGCGGTAGTAAATTAATCATACTACCCAAAGTTCGATTGTAATTTCGAAAAAATTATTAAATTTATAAGCTTCTTGACAATGATGCTTAGAAATCACTTTTTTTATTTAAAATTAGATGTGCCAAAATAAATACAAATGTAATGCAATTATTTCATGGGATTTCTAAAAAAAAATGGTTATTTTAAGGTCAATTTAAATTAAAAATTGGAAATCGCCATCCTAAGACGCCTAGATATTTTATCAATGAATTCAAACATGTATAAAATATTTAAATCGGACATTCCAAAGTATGTGTAATTTACCACCCCTTATTGGTCCAAAACGTATAAAAAATACGCTTGTTGCAGCCCCCTTATTCTTCTACTAGGTATATGATCTTCTTTTCACTCATTATTAAAGTTTTTTATTTACTATATAGGTATGCTAATATGATATAAACGTTATGATTTAAAAGTTTAATGTAGGTAATAAGAATATTATGTTTTTTTAGGTCTAAAATATTCGTTATTTGTAATTACTATTTTGACTAACCTATGTACCATGTGGTATATAATTATACTATCTACAAGTTACAACAGTGAAATAACGTAAATATACAAATAAAGTAGTTGATAGCTACACTGTGGTAGGCTGGGAAAACTTATCCATAGATAGATCCTAAGGTGATTTATTTTTTTATGTTTAAATATATTTATGTTACTGGATATGACATTAAAATAGAAAATAACCGGGAAATGTAGTAGTGGTCCTAAAAATGGTAAATGTTAAAATTTTTAAATAAAATTGGCTGATCATTGCAGACGTTAAATACATTCTTAGTTCTTACTATTAATAATCAAAGGATGCGTCGTCGCAAACACTTAATATTATACATTCAACTGCATGTTATCTGAATGGAGTCATCCAAATGTACATTTAGGTATATAGGTAATTTATCAATGTAATAAATAATAAGAATAAAAACATTTTGAATATTCCAATTATCAACTAGGTATAATAGTATCTATACTTCTATACTATTATATAAAATGGTAAGGGTTTTCTTGGACCGCGCTAACCTAGAAAACTACTGAACCGATTTGACTGAAATTTTTTACTGTTATACTTGACAGTCTGCTGGAGGTCATAGTACCACTTTTGTTTAGAAAAATCCACCAGAAAAGTAGAAAATATGGATGTCAAAAATACAACAGTGGCGCAATCTGTCCATAAAAAAATAAACTAATTAATAAAAAATGAAAAATAAAGTTTATTGTTGCAGATTAAAATAATAATAGTGTATTATAATATATTGGTTGCTATGTTATCTATACTACTATATAAAATTGTAAGGGGTTTTCTGCGACCACGCTAACCGGGAAAACTACAAAAACGATTTGCTGATTCCTTTTTGTTGTATTTGTAATTGTCAGAACAAGGTTCTTATGAAAGAATATTTTAGGGAAATTCACCAGAAAAGTAGGAAGTAGGGATGTCAAAAATACAACAGCGGCGCCATCTGTCCAGAAAAAAATAAACTAAATAATAAAAAATGTAGTTAATTGTTGCAGATTAAAATAATAATAGTGTATTATATATCGGTTGTTATTGGTTAATCGGGCATGTTTGTTGATTTGTATTATTATTTTTCGTAGATATATAATGTTATATAATGTTTGTGTGTAGATTAGACCTCTGGGAAGAAGATAGATTAATTTAACAAGGGTTAAATTTGGTTTTTTTTTATTCATCGAATTTTAGTACGGTTAGGTTAGGTTAGGATTTTGTATTGATTAATTATATCAATTCACCGTAGGTGGAATGAAGTAACTTTGATACTCTAGAGCTAAATCAAACAGCACGGGATCAGCGATCTACCTCGGGTAGATTGCCTACCCGATAATATACAGCTGAAAATCAGAATTTTTATTCTGGGCACAACGGAAAAGTTAAGATAAGTTTTCAACACCATGCATCGAATATTAAATAACGAATTGAACAAAGTTTGAGTCATATATATAGAGTTGGTCCATTTAACGGCAACGATATGCACGTGATCGGTTTTTTTGTAATAAAAATATATTTATCATTAATACCGCTAGAAACATTTCAATACGCTTTCATTAAAAGTTTTTTTATATTTACTTGCGGATCATATTAAGCTATAAAATTTGAATACAAAATTATACATATCATCGTTCAGAGGCAAAATAAACAACCAATCACGGGCGAAGCTGTGATGGGTCGGCTATGTAGTATAAAGTATAAACTCATTTACTATTTGCTCCCAATCTTCTTTTTGAGGAGTTTTGATGCATTCTTCTTTTAGTTTTAAGATAATTGCATTACATACTTCGATGACAATTCCTTGCACAGTCGAATGGCCTAATCGAAAACTGAAGGCTATCGTCTGGTACGAATCTCCAGTTGCCAAGAACCTAAAAATAATATCGAATATTATAATTATTATTATTATTATTATCATTTATATATATTTTTTAGTATTTAATTTTATAGCATCCACAAACATTATTTTAATCATTTCTTTTTTTAATTAATTAATTTAAGTCCTAACCTTTAAATTATATATTTATATATAAATAATACTGTAAATAAAAAAATTTAAAAAACTGTTATTATTGAAAATATCATCAAATACTATAAAATACTAAAATAGGAATAATTTGTTTGAATAGGTATTACACAACGAACTTAAAACTACATCCTAATTCAAATACGATACAATATCACTAGCTTAATTATAAATGTAGTTACTCATAGACTCACATAAAAATTAAATAACGATTTCTATTAAATATAATAAAATCACTTACCTCAAACATACACCTAGTTTTTCTTTAGCCGGTATTGACTCTCTAAACAGCGTATTTTGTTTGGAAATTTCATTTTTTATTTTTAGGTAAAGTGTGTTAAACTGAAATCTGGACATTCGGAAGTACTTAAAAACTTGTCTTCATGATCCTCGAATTGGCGACATAGGGTTGCAAATTCACCTTCGGTTTTCCGTTTTTTTAATATATCATGGACCCAAATTTTTCTTTTTCGTCCAGACTTTTGTTGTACATTCTTCGTACTTTCTTCTTCTTCGTCTAATAAAATTACTACAATAGCCAAATCTGACGTTGAAAAATGTCGGAAAATTTTACAATTTTTACAAACGACTACCTAGCTGCGTAAACCAATATGTAAGTACCTACTCGGCTACGCTCGTGGTTTGTAATGAGTGACTACATAATATTTTGACGGTAGATGACGGACGATGCCTGATAAGTGTGAATAGTTGGATGATTTGTCGTGCCGTTACGTGCTGTGACGGTCCGTGCCGTGCCGTAACAGTGTGAATCGGGCTTTAATATTTAATTTTGATCATGGATATTCGATTTTACATATTCATACCTATTATTCATATTTAATTATACATGAATAATAAAATCAACTGTCATATATTAATCAAGTCACTACTCGCTCCAATTGTTGCGCAATGTTGCAAAATGTCGTCCTTTTTTGCCGATACAAAATATAGCATAATTTGTTATAAACTAGTACATAATTTTTATAACATTACTAGGTAAGTACTAGGTAGCTTGGTATATTATTTACCTAAGTAAGCAATCAAAAATAAATAGGTATATTGTATATACTAGGTAGCTGAGTACTTATCACTATTATATTAATTATTTCATGAATATTAAACTCAACTGCCATATTTTACTCAAGTTGTGTGTCGCTCTAATTGTTAGCGAAATGGTGCAAAAAGTAGTACTTTTTTGCCAAATCGACATTCTGACTATCCGATAATTTTAATAATAGAATAATAAAGAAGCATTAATTTGTTTTCAATTAAACAAGAAATTTCTTGCGGCGCTTATTTGTATGTACAATTCAGAAAATGACAAGTGTTTTTATGGAAACGTTAAATCTTTTCATTACTGCTTCTAAAATAGTTGGGCTGATGAATTTTTGTTGTACCATGGAATCTGGATTATTGTACCGGAACATCCAATCGCCGTATTATATTTTTCTGGAATGTACACGGATGTTTATATACTTAATTTTTTCTTATCATTTAATTTTCAATATTGGAAGTTTTTACATTCTCCTTAAATTCAATGTTATTAAATATTGGTGCATCGTCATAGCAGCAAGAATATCGGAGAAATGGATAATAAAGTATGAATAGTTAAAATATATATTTAACATGTATAGAAAATATGATAAATGATAATTGGTACTTATAAGTTTAGGCTACATATAATTGTATATGCATATGATGTAGGTTTTATATTTAAATAAAATACTATGAGAGTAAGAATGTACACTCATTTTATAAATAAACTGCGAGCGAATCAAAAAAGTAAAATTTTTGGGGTCCTTTCATTCGGTTCCCTGTAACATAAAATTGCCCTATCCACCACTGTTCTAAACTTCTAACTTCTAACTTTCTTATTCTTGTACACATAATATGTGTTACACATTAAACTTTTTAGGGGACAAAATAATCAACTACCTGTTAAAAACAATAACCGATCTATAGTAGATGTTGAGTATACATCACAAATGAATAGGTGGTAGCTTCTGTAATGGGAGTGTACAATTTGAATTAAATAATAAATCATTGCATGAGAAAATTTTTTTCTTAGTTTAACCTGTCAACCTGTCAAAATAATAAATAATAAATTGGTCTAAATAAAGGTCTTATTTATGCATTGTTATGTTTCTTCAAATAACCTTGAAGTTCGTTAATTTGTTCCTATATACCATGAGCTACGATTAACTGTATAATGTAACTGAAGATTTAGAATTAGATTAATTTTATTATGTTTAATTTCAGGTTTATTAATGGAATCATTGAATTCGACATCAAACTGTTTTTATTTAATTCATCAGTCCCTGTTAAATTATATTCAAAGAGTAATACATTTTGGATTGTTATTTTTGCTAGTTTTATTTTGTATTTTCTTTGTTGTCATTATTTTTTATTTGGACCTGGTGGTAAAAAAGTTGAAGACTCATCTCATTATGTAACAGTCCTGTTCCGTACACCAGATATTATCATCTTTATAGTATTGATTACGTCGGTTTATTATCTCAGTAACTTGGGGTACCGATTTTGTGAATTGAATAGGTTATGGAAATGCTTACCTTTTGGATTACTTGCCTTGCCAGGTGGATTGACAAATTCAGAGATAACTTTGTTAGTAGAACGTATACGATTGTTACATGCTGAACTTTCTGAGTTGCTTAGATTGTTTAGTTTGGGTTACGGGCCAGTCTTATTGGTATATTTTACATTTATATTCTCCCATACTTTAATAGAAACATTTTTATTTACGATATATATGGATTCACTGAAGAATAGTATTTTTCCATACATATTCTACCTACAACACATTTTTAACATGATTTCAATCATCTACTTCACCTCGTGGGTCATTGAAAAGGTTTGTAATATTTTTTAATAACTAAACGATTAGTCCTACATAATATACACAGTTTTCTTATAATGTACTACGTTAATTTTAATGTTTAATTTACGAAATATATTCCCAAAACTTTATTGTTAGGACATAATAATATGTACCTTTTTTTTGTTATGTGCTAGGTACGTTAATTGTGTCTTATATATTATGAAAGAGTTTTAGTAGGTACCTATTAAACTTATTATCATGACTCATGACAAATTAGATAGGTATCATCATCACAGTATTTTGACATGCATCCTCCGCTCTTTACTTCGCCAATATATCGTAGTTCTCTACTATTCTACTACTACTCTTTCTCGTATTGGCTATCAATCATATACATACATATATAACATTGAACAAAATCAACCAATGAGAAATGGAGAACTACAAAACGGGACAGAGGTGAAGGAGATTTGCATATAGCGTAAAACTAGTACAACTGTGATGATACCTATCTAATTTGTCATGCTTATTATTCAGTATTTTACCTCTTTTTGCACTATTTTATAAAGTGTAGGCATTAATATCTGTTAAAAATTGATGTTCGTTACACCTGCCTTAAAATTTGTGATTTTTTCGTCGCTTCCCAAACGACTCCAGTCTATTTTTTGATTATTCCCAAACGGCTCCCGTCAAAAAAAGTTTTATTATCAGGTAAATTCTGCTCATCCTAATATTTTCAAGGTTATTGACATACTAACCGAAATACAATCCGAAACGCAAATTAAAGCTGGAAGTCATGTATTTACACTAAAACTGACAAAAAAACAGGAGTTCATTGAAAACATTATTCAAGAATTTTCATCAAATAAAATAACTAGCATAGATTATACAAAAAAATTGTGCATCAAAAATTTACCTATTGTATAATTTTTTTTTAATTATTATTTTATAATAAAATATTATTTTTATACATACATTTTTTTACGATTTTTGTCTATTTTTTGAAAACTTTTTTACATTAAATTCACAGAATTTGATTTTTACAATTTACTTAGAATATAAATTTAAATAACATCAACACATTTTTAACCACACCTCTTTTGAGACAGTCCTAAGTCTGTATGAAGTGGGAAGGAATTTGTGTTGTAAAAAACCTGAGCCGTTTGGGAATTTACCTGATAGTAAAAAATTTTTCGATGGGAGCCTTTTGGGAATTGACCTTTTTGAAAACGGGAGCCGTTTAGGAAAATCGGGAGCCGAATGGACTATGCCTGATTTTTTATGACTATAATTAAAGTGTGGGTAGTCAATTTTGTGTACATAAATAGCTAAATGCCTAAGGGCCAGTTGTACCGTCTACGGTTAAACTTCGATTACGCTTAATCAGCTGAAAACAGATATTTAATAGGGCAAATTCGGCCAATCAAATTTCGGTTAACTTTAATCGGAAATGATACAACTGGCATTAAGTAATACGACTAAAAAAAAAAATTCTTTAAATTATTATAAAATTATGTGTATTTTAAATTCAAATTAAATTTTAAAATATTAGTTATTATTTATGAATATTAAATTGAAGCGCTTAGTGAAACACCGGGCAAGTCCGTTTTATCAAAATGTTCAAGAGATAGAAAACCACGGACTAAGTCCGTGAGGAAAACAAAATTCTTAATCTCATTTACCACTATTGGAGGGAAATAATTCAGCTTACGATATCTTTGGAAATAATAAACCGATTTTTCTACCAAAATATAGTACCTAATTCTTCTATGGAATATTATTCATGTAAAAAAAAATTGTTGATAAAAACGGAAATAAACGGTTGTTCCACTCAGCGCTTATTTATATTTTAAGTATATTTAGAGTTAACATTATATATTTTCAGAAAAAAAAAATTATTTCACGTTTTAAATACTCAGCTATAATCTATATGTTATTATTTTACCTTAATGATGACGTGATTTACAATAGCATTCACCCAAAAAATGACTATATGTCCCACAACTTGTTAAAATACGTAAAAAAAAACTTAAAATGTATTATATACCTAGGCTCTGAGGCCTCAGCGTAGCAGTCAAGTAGCGTTGCGTGCAAGCACATATAAACGTATAATCGCAAACTTTGGAAGGCTATAACTTCTAAAATAATAGTTTCACGGAAAAAAATTTACACCATCGATTTAAGCATAAAAAACTAGTCGTTTGAAAAAAAAAATTGATAATCGTAAGGGGGTTGTTAAAGTGCAATTTAGCCAAATAACGAATTGAAAAAAGTTTGAATCATATTGAGATTGCACTTTTAACACCACTATTACTTAACCACCAACGAAGTGCACAGGATCAACTAGGTAGGTAGTATTTAATTTATATTTTTAAGGGGGCTGGAGCCTGGAACGTAACCAATTTCAAGGAGTAAAAATTAGGCATTTTATATTTCAAGTTAAATGGGTCTTGTGAATGTGTTGAAAATAAATGAAAAATAACCTAACCTTTATAGGTAGTATATCTAATTTATATGTTTA